GTGCTGATAAGTTGGTAAAGACAGATCCAGCCGTTTCGGAGACCCAGAGCAAAGAGTGCAGAAAATGGCAATCAAGTTTTTGAGAGAACGGAGCATCCGATTTGAATGATTCAGAGAGCTTTCAATTCGTAGTGATGGTGAAAAGTGGTGATTAGTTTTCTACAAAGTCAGGCCTAGCCGTTTCCGTTAAACAGAGCTAAATGTGCAAAAAATGGGAATCCTATTCTCCTAATAATTTACCAACAAGTTTAATAATTTCCACAAAGGATACACAAAATTCGATTATTATATATCATAGTTCGTCCCTGTTCAGTAGATAACTCGATGACATTTTTTTATCCAAACTGACGAAAAAATTTGTCACTGATAAGAAGTTACGATAGAAATGTATGTAGGTACGTTTGGAAGGTGATAAGGAACTGATAAGGGACTATGAACAACCTTTTAGTTATGGTTCCAGCTAAATTAGGCCTACATCACATCAAAGGATAAAGAATTATTAAAAAAATATAATGAAATTAAATTTATAATTAATTATTGAAAAATCCTTTCCATAACACACTGCTATCGCTTTTCTAATATGCAAACTCCATTCTACTCAAGGCATTCCCCACACTCCAACCCTACTCCTAAGGTTTTATTAATAATTTAGTTTTCGGTATGGGAATTTCCAGCAATTTGCCTTAAGGCACGATACCATAAACCGCTAGTTTTTTAATATTTTTTTCTATGATAGTTACGATCAAAACTATCACCCCATTTGACGTTGAATTCTGTGTCACCCTATACACACATATAATTTTTTTATAATTGAAAAATCCTCTTCCAATATGCAAACTCGATTCTACTCAAGGCATTCCTCACCCTCCTCCACACTACTCCCCCATCTCCTTTCGAAATGGGGTTGCCAGCGTTGAGCTATAGTTCGCTTTCGGTGTCGCCGGGATTTGGCGAGATTTACCGAAGCCCTCTGCAGCTCTGTGGGGGCTTTGGAGCACGACGGTGCACAACAGGTAAGTAAAGTGATTGTAATTTCTGTCTCCAAACAAGCGCAAAACCCATTTAAGGAGAGGAATGGAGCGATGGGCGCCGGTAGTAGTAGTAGTAGTAGTAGTAGTAGTAGTAGTAGTGCATCGTTTGGAGGAAAAAGGTGCTCAAAATATTAATGGATAGTTTTATTTGTTAATTTAATTTGAGAATAATATAGCTGTGTTATGGTGTCCAAGAGATAACATAACAAACTAGTTGAAAGTGGCATTTGGCCTTAAGGCAAGTTGCATGAACTTTCCGAAATGACTTAATCAATCAAAATTGAAATTTAGATATTTAGATGAAATTTACAAAGTTTGACAAATTTAGACTATAATATTTTCTCAAACTTTGATAAATTTTTAACATTAAGCTATTAGTCGAAGGGCCGTAATATTTTAGTATGTTTTATAAGACCATGATATCTATTGCCAAAAAATGGTAATAAAAATCGACAAAAAAAATGTTCAACAATTAATTTCAAGAAAACGGCGCATTAGATTTTCACCTAAAACTAATCAGTATTATTTCCAACCAATATCTTACGAAAAGTTTTTGATTTTTAAAACTGATTCAGAATTGAGAGCTAAAACGTGGACGAAATTTTTTCGCTTTTCTGCTATTCTTTCCAAAGGTTACTGAACATTTTGGAACATGCCTTAAGAAAACTTGATGAGTGTATGTGTGTGTGTGCGCGCAAATGTGCGCAATATGTATGTACTCGTATGTATGTATGTTCGGATACAAATTTTCGTCACGAATTCGGAAACAAACATTTTGACAAAACAAACGACTCCTATTGATAGGAAAACAATCTGATTAGTTTTTGGCAAAGGCAGGTCCATCCGTTTCGGGGGCAAAAATAGCCAAAATTTGTGATTCAGTTTTTGAGAGACGAAGCTGATTTAAATGATTAAAAAATATTTCTCTTGCATGAATAAAATAAAGAATTGATTAAATTTTTGTGAAGGCAGGTCCATATTTTCAAAATTTCTAAAAATGTTAAAAAAGAAATCAATATTTTCAAAATTCTCATTTCAAATTTTAAACTAGTGGTGTATGGCATCGTGCCTTAAGGCAAATTGCTGGAACTTGCCGTACCGTAACGAAATGTTCGAGGAATATTGAATGTTTTCAAATAGATTATTATAAATAAATATTGTAACATTGTCTAATATTTTTAAGAATTATATAAACTGAATTGCAAAGTTGAAATTATTTGTATCTATTACTATTAATTATTTTATCAAAAATCTGAATTATTTTCGATATACAAAAAAAAATTTAAAAATTTCTTTTTTGAAAATTGAAACAATTTTTTTCCAATAGCGGTTATTTTATTGAAACAAGCAGTAATTTTTGAATCGTTCAAATCAGACGCTCAGTTCTCTCAAAAATTGCCATTTTTTGTACATTTAGCTCCGTATCTTTGAAATGGCTGGGCCTGCCTTTGCCAAAAACTAATCACCTCTTCTATCAATCATTACAAATTGAATATTTTTTAGATCAGTCAAATCGGATGCTCCGTTCTCTCAAAAACTCGATTTGTATTTTCTGCACTCTTTGCTCCGTATCTCTGTAACTGCTGGACCTGCCTTTGCCAAAAACTAATCAGCACATCTCCCTATCGATAGGAATCGAATGTTCTCTGAACCATTCAAATCGGTTGATCCGTACGTCCGAAAACATGAACGAAAAAAATGCGGACACATAAAACACACACACACATCCTTTTTTTCTGAGGTATGCCAAAATGTTCAGAAACCTTCAAAACGTTGAGAAATGCTAAAATTTTCAATTGAGATTTTCGGACGATTACAATAACTTACCCTACGTGAAGTTAGAAATACATATAAATAAATCTTGATTCTTATTGGTTAAGTTGATTATGTATACGTATAGCGATGTTCATGCAACTTGCCTGAAGGCAGGGGAAAGAAATATATTATATCGATGGGATAACTATGATCTTCCTAATTGAGTTAACAAAAAAGTTTCTGCACAAAATATATACATATACATATATACTAGGTGGCCCGGCAGACGTTGTCCTGTATCCACGTCTACATTTCATAAGTTTCAAATTTTTTAACTTCCTATCCTATATTTTTTAATATCACATTTTGTTATTAATAAAAGTTGATTACAACCTTTGACAATCTGTCAAAAGTGCACCGCATCCACCACCTGTACAAGGTACTACGACACCGATAGCCGAGCCGAGCCGAGCCGTGAGCTTAAAGCTCTCCCGGTTGAGGCCCTAAGCTGCCGTAAGCTCTAGCAGCAGATAGCTACAGCCGATATAGCTACTAGTAGTAGTAGCTATATCGGATACTGGCGGCTTGATACTGCTATTGCTGCAGCAGGCAACAACTACGTAGATCGTCGTCGCCTCGGCCGCGGCCGTTGCTAACCGCAGGAGGATGAAGGTAACAATTGATCGTTACGGGGGATGAAGGGATGGTGGAATTATGTAATGGCAATGGTAATGGAATGATCTATGTGTATTGCAGGTTATGATTTAAGGGATAAGCTCAGTCTCTTACTATTTTACTATGTTAATAGACTACTATAAGTCCTAGTATTAAGTTACCTTCGCGCGTTTTGCTCCGATTGGACAAGTCTCTTCTTGGTAATTATGAGAAAAGTGTAAAAATTTTTTGTCCACAATTTAATTTCGTTCACAATATTAAATGGATTTTAAAACTTCAAAAGTTATTGATTGTCCATCCTGTTAATTAGGTTTTGGTAAAGATCAGCCTGATCGTTTCATCGTAATTATTTATTACAATTTGTTTGGTTTTAATGAATCATCGCCTATAGATATAGTTTATTATTTATTTATTTTACTGCCGGAAGGATCTGGACTATTCTAATATTTTATCAAGTGCGTTCTTCCGTAACTTCGCGTTGGCGCCAACAATTTTTCGGATCGAATTACATCAACAGTTTCAAATTTCAAAATGTTTTATATATCTATGAATTTGACGTCTTCAAGTATTTTATGCTAAATCTGTTTCACTTCTAAACGTTTGTATGTCTTCATCATTCTTTTTATATCACATCTCGATCATAAATTATAATAAATCAAGAATCTAAATTGCATAAAATTATGAATACCATACAAAACAATTGGAAAATATTAGAAAATGAGTTCACAGAAAATAAAATATATTATTTAAAGACACCAGTCAAGAGCAATAAGCTAACAAAATCAATATGACCCAACTGAACTGATCTAAACTAAATTATAAATACAAAAAACATAAGTAATAAAAGACAGTGTTAAGTATATTTTTCCAAAGTGGAGGTATTGAAAAAAAGAGAACCAAAAAACGTATGAAAGTAAAATAAATTCATGTTTTTTATTGATGTTATGCCCGATTACTAGACTTTTTTAATACACATATATGTATATATTAGGGTGGTCCTTAATATGGACATTTTCGAATTTCCTCGCTCCCAAGGGCTCAAATGGTTCCAAATTGATGAAAAGCAATTCTCTGAAAGCTCTTAATATTAACTTTTAGATAGTGCGTAATTCAATCAAAGTTAGCATGAAAAAAATTTCGAAAATTTAAAAAATTTTTTTAGGTATAACTTAGCGACAAATGATTTAAAGGTGACAATTCGGGTCATTTTTATTAAAAATTTGACGCTCTGCAAAACAGGGTTTTAATAATTTTTTTTTGTAGAGTTGAGTAAAACTCATTTATTTGTTCACTAAGTTATATCTAGAAAGGATTTTTAAAATTTTTGATATTTTCATACAAAACTTTGATTAAATTGCGCACTATCTAAAAGACAATATTAAGAGTTAAAACTTTCAGAGAATTGTTTTTTAATAATCTGGAAACAATTGAGCAAGTAAATTCGAAAATGTCCATATTAATGACCAAACTAATATATATATATATATATATATATATATATATATACATGTGTGTGTATTAAAATCTATATAAACTCACCCTGACTCTGGCTTCTGTTAAATTCGTCCACATCGCGATTTCTTCTCGCGTTGACATATCTGGATATCTGTGAAAAAATTACAACCTTTATATACTATATAAAACACATATATTAATGGCATTTTCAAATTATTCGACTAGAAAGGACTCGGGTAAACTTTTTGAGCTTTCTTACGATAAGATAAAAGAGCAAGATGACAAAAGTGAGGATGCAAGTTATGTTGTTTCTAATGACCAGAAATTGTTAACAATATAAAAAGGGGAAAAATTATAATTTAATTATAATAGTCAAATAATCCTCAATGAAAAATAATATAAAATAGTTCCTATATAAGATCAGTGGTAATTTTCGCTTTAGCCTGGTGGGCTGCCCTCCGAAGTGCACTTGGCTTGATTTATTTCATAACATGCGTTTATGATTTCTACATTAAAAGTATTTAATATTATCTATTAGTGATGATGGTAAGATGAGAAAGCAAGGTTACAAAAAATTGACCTATTAATATTTAAACAATTTTGTTTCTTTTATTACCGATTCCTCGTGAAGGTGGCTTCCAGCTCCTGCAGCTGCTGCGACGTGAAGTGCGTCCTCTGCCGCCTCTGCCGTTTGTTTTTCTTATCGTTTTTGCCGCCGTTATTAGCGGATTCGTCCGTCGTCGCATTCATGTCCAACGACGTATCGTTTTCCGTCTTCACGGTCGCGTGGTCGCTTGTTAAAGACCTCAGGGTAACTGAAAATGAAAAAGAAAAAATATGAAAAATTCGAAGAAATTGCTCGGCTGATCTCTCCACACACACATATATATTAATTTTTATATTTATTTTTATTGGGGTCACTTTTCCAATTTCTCAAGGTGTGAGACAACCGTGATCAAAGTCAATTCTACCGCATGTTGACACAACCACGTCATTTACGTCGGCTTCCGTCTGTTTTTCATATTTATTGACAAATTTAGCTGTCAACTCTCTCATCTTGACATTGATCGATCATCCGATCACCACCACATCGGATGATAACTTTGAGCAACTCGCCGACTATTCTGGGAAAAATGACTTTTATTTATTTTTATGTTAACAACGAATTAGATGTTAAGTGGCAGTTTATTCTTATCGATAGTGTTACATTAGTTGTTCGTTATCGATATTAATAGAGCACACTTGGTGTGTGTGTTTTTTCAATAAAGGTGATGGTAATGGATAGTTTTTGATTATGGAGATTCGGTGTTGAAGTGTTTGTTGGATGCCGACTTTTTGGGTAATGGAATGTTGTTTTTGTATCCAGGACTAGCCAGTTGATTTTTGATGTATAAATTCTATCGCATAATGTAGTCATAGCTACTGTCCTGGCGCAGTATACAAAAGTGTGCAGGTGTGTTATTAACTTCCCGTATGGCAAGTAATAGTAATCGCAAAAAAACAGTGCCAAAAATGGTAACTCAGTTTTTAAGAGAACGTAGCATCCGATTTAAATAATTCAAAAAACATTTTTAATCAAATTTTCATGAAGGCAGGTCTAGCGGTTTCGGAGATCTAATAAAAAAAAAGTAAAAAAATGCCATTTGGCGGTCAAAAATGATCATTAGACATATTCACGTCAAATTATCAGATATTTTATAGAGATTTTAACAATAAGTATAAATTTTGTTTACATTCCTATGGGTTCCATACCGATGTTTATCCGTTACACGGCGACGCGGCGCTTACGCGCTTCGATATTTTGTCTCTATGCAGTTAAAGCAGTACGATTGCTTTGAAATAAGTTCAGAATTTCCAAAATATTTCAAAATTAATTTTTCTTCAAAGTTTTTTTTTTAAAAAAGTAAATTTTTGTCAAAAATTTATAGTTTTTCAAAAATCTAATTTTTTCAGAGTAATTTTTTTCAAAAATGTTAATCTTTTTTTAAAAAAAAATAATATTTGGTACGGGAAGTTCCAGCAATTTGCCTTAAGGCACGATGCCATGCGCTCCACAAGTTTAATGTAAAATTGTACTATCTTAACATTTCAGTTTGCGTTACCAATTTTGAATTTTATGTATCTTATTTCATTCAAATTGATCAATCTTTAATAACGAGTATTAATTTTTGTGATTGCTAATTGTTTACATAGTTAACTTGATGAATGTAAAAAAATCACACCTGAGATTAGTTGAAACAAAACCTTGGGGCAAGTTGGAACATGCAAGAATGGTATTTTCTGGTATGTGGTGAAGCTTATACAGATTTAAGTGAAGAAGATTGGATAAAATTTTTGGGCACAAGTAAATTGTGTCATTTAATACGAATTTAAACTAATCCCTTATCTCACCTTCTTTCCTGTCCCTGTTCCTAATTTGCCGCGCAGCATTCGGAGCAGCAAAAGACAATTGTCCGAGGGCGCTGCTGCCGCCTCCGGAACTGACTCCGGAGCCGGTTGAACCGCTTCCGCCATTACCGGAAGCGACGACCGCCATCGCGTTATGAGACACCGAATCCCGGAAATCTCCGGTCTCGGCCCACACTGAAAAGAGGGAAAGGTAATCATTGCTCGGCGTTCGAGAAAATTATTTAATATAAATAAGAATAATGGTAATAAGATATAGATAGTATTAATAAAAATATACATATTTAGATAAAATAACCATACAATAAATATTAACCATTATCTTATTACAAACGCAGTCCAGAGTAAATGCACACATGTCCCACAATTTGTCTTCAACCTGTCCTTTCTGCATCCCGAAGTACCTACTCCATCTACATATGTAAGTAAGTATGTGGTGCTGATGTGTTATTTTTAATTGAGTTATTTATTTTGGACGAGCATCTTGTTTTCTGTACAATAAATCGCTGCTAATTGATGGGGAACCGACATTCTCCACGACATCAAAATTTACAAATCGTTTATAGTCGACCGAGTGACATCTCGAGTTGATATATTACCGGAGGCGACGGTTAGGTAGAAAAATATTTGGTTTTTGGTAAATCACGAATGTGAAAGTATTTGCATGAGGAGATGGAAATTAATATGTTGAAATCAAGCAAACATATTAAGAAGATTTGAATATTTTATTTAGGTGAAAATACTGCAGACGATTTCATATAATAATGTGTGAACATGTATTTGTATCCATGTTTTCGAATAAAAATTAACATCATTGTTGCTTGATGCCAAGTTATATATGATAAGTGTCAAGAAAATACTCTTGTAAGATCCTTAAAATTTATGTAAATAATCTTAATCTCAAAAAATTGATATTGGGTTTTTTTAATTATTCTTTTTTTATTGTTGATAATAAAATAAACAAATTGATAATTCAAACCTACATAAAAATTATATATATTTTTAATTTAAATATAACATTTGTTCAATTTTTTTTGGTAAAATGTTTCAAGACTTTTAGAAGTTTCTAACCGAATTCAATAACAATTATGAACGCTAAAACACTAAAACTTTTTTAAAAACCTAAAAAATCATAAAAAAGATGATATTTTAACAAAACAGTATTTACTTGAATTTGAAGCCTGAAATTTTTTCAAAAGTCTGATTTGCAAATTTTGAAATTTTCTTAAAAAATTAACATGAAGTAGGTATTACATAAAATAATAATGATTATTTTTTTTATCAATAATAAATTTCCAGCAACTTGCCAATAGCACCACGATACTCCTATGTAATAAAATATTCCTTCAGGATGTCTACTCTAAAATAATTATAAAGGAATATGAAATTTATTGCACAAGAAGGTTTTTATAAATGAATTATGAGCTCGTTTTAATCGATAAAACTAATTTCATTAAAAAGCTTTGCATCCAATTAAGATTCAAGACATTAAAATTATTTATTACACTTCAGTCTTAAAAATTATTATAAAGTAGAAATAAGCTCTATGAAAGGTCACAGGATTTAATTTTAGAGATAATAATTAAATTCGTTGCTATATAAATTATTTATAATATAAATATATATATATATATATATATATATATATATATATATCTTGATGGTTTTTCCGTCGTTGAAATAATTAGCAGCACATTTGTCGCAATAAAAAAAGAAAAACATACTCTATTAATTTTAGGTTTTGATGCTTGATCTGTACCATCATTCATCAAATTTAAAATATAGTCTACAATTAACACAACATCATTCATCAAATCTAAAATAACGTCTACAATTAACATAAATATTCGAAGACCAATGAAAAAATAATTATTGAGAAAAATATACATATTGAAAGTAAGAAACAAGCAGGGTTGGAAAATCAGAAAAATTAATAGAATTACCTATTCTTGATAAAATTAATAATCTACTGATAACTATCATGTAAAAAATGAGCAGAATTACGTTTATTAACTTAGGAAGAATTTAGGAAAATGAGGAAAGACTCTGCGAATCTTCTAAACTTTTTTTTTCTCTATAAGATTTGTAAGTAAGATTAAAATTGAACATACTTTTTTAAAATGTGTCTGACCCATATTGGTAAAAAATACATTCTACAGGACCTTGACAACAATGCATAACAAAATACTAAAAAAACAGTATGAATTTGAATGCAGATCTTATGAGTGCAGAAAAATAAAGAGAATAGACAAGAAAAAAGTTAGAGATATGAAAAGTGATGAACAAGAAAGGCACGAGTGTTAAACTAAATTTATAATTTTAATATATTTCAGGAGCTATTACAATTTCCTCTCGTTTATTCGCCGCCACTAAATTCCTCGACATAATCCTATATGCGAATGCTAACTTTCGGATTTTTTTTCTTCTCTCAGTAGAATGTTAATCACCATGTCGCATTCTGTCACTTGTCCTTTGAAATGTTTAATTTATAGCTAACTGCATTTCGTTCGGGCTACTAATAGCTACCAAGAAGCTGGATCAACCAACACATTCACATACACCTACATACATCCACGATGAGAATAACTAGGTGTATATTTCGAATATACTTTTCTTGCTTTAATGGAATTTCCAATATATGAAACGATCCTGGATCTTTTATCAAGTAAGATAGCAGAATTATCCTATCCTATTAATCTTCTCAATAATCATTTCTTTATCTGACTAACTTTTAGTTGCACCAATATAATATAAAGTCGTCTTCCGTCTCCTGGTCGTTAATGGAGGAGAGACCGTTTGCTCTATTTTCTGTTTAACGGATCGTAAATAACCGTTAATTGCTGACGTTAACACGTCAGTTAAAATTAAATGCTAAATAACACATGAGGAGACAGAAGGTAGGCAATTAAACGACGACTAATTATTGTTGATAATTAATTAGTCACACATTAAATAGGGATACGGATTGGTGAAGAATTGAAAAGTACTGGCATAGGTTCACAAGTACTTCCAAAAGTTATTTACGGAAATATGAAATATTTTTAAATTAGAAAAATTAATTAATAAAAACTTTAGGAACCATTGATTTATGTTTTCAGTAGTTCGAAAACTACTGAACCTGCATATCGTTAAATTTATGAATGAGAAGTTTGTAGTTTTGTCGCTGATGTTCGAAGTCTTTCTGAATCGTTTGACATGAAAATTGGAAAAATATTTGTGGGTTGATTTAAATGTTGCATTATCCGTAATGAACAGTTCATCAATATTTCTTCTTTCCTTATGCAACATTCTAAATAAAATTCTAAAATTGACAAACATTTGAACAGATCTAGTAAATATAGTATTTTACAAAAAATATAGTGCATTACTGTGTTTTCTTATTATTAAGTTAAAAACAAATTTTCCTAATATTTAACAAATAGTCTCTAATGTTCTTGAATCTTTTTTCGGTTTGTTTAAATTAAAGTCAGGGAAAAGGTTATCTGAATTTGTTTATTCGGGTTTATTTATTTTTGCGCCATAAAATATTTTTGTGTGTGGCCTGAAATTGTTTTTGATAAGGACGAACACTGTTTTTGATAAGGTGAACATCAGAGGTGCCATATTTCATAAATTATATATACGTATATATATATATATATATATATATATATATGTATTATAATTTCCACTATATATGCATGTTCCCCATTAGATTGTACCCCTTAATATTAAATCATAATTCTTCCAAGGGCGAAAGGGCGGGTCCTTCCTTTCTCAGACCGCATGTCCTTATGTCTACGAACATATGTTAGTTGAAAATTTATTACCTTATCTAATATATAACTTAGTCGTATGATATATATATATATATATATATATAAGGATAAGAAGAAGAAACTGCATTAGAGTTGACAAATTTCATATGCTGCTGCTGGACCATTTCTTATTTAAGAAATGTGATTTAGATGATTTTTTTCCCAAGAAGCACAATGTATATATGTATATATATATATATATATATATATATATATATAAACTTTCAAAAAAATATTACAAGACTTTGGTGTATAACATCTACCAGAAAAATAATATGCATTATGCGAGATAAAAACAATGATAAATAAAATAAATTATTGTTATCCTTTTTACTTAAGGCTTGTTACAAGTTCTAGCAACTAATTAAAATTGAAAATAAAAAATAATTATTAAAAAATATTTAACTTGTAGGGTTACATAATAATGAAAAACCAATATAAAAAAGAAATTCAATATCTTGATTGAACAAAACAGATTATCTTTTCAATTGTTGACTTTAATAAAATGTAAATTTAAAATAATAATTATCAAAAAAATCGTGGTTTTGGCTTGATAATGATTCTTGTTTATTTCTGATTTTTCTAAAATTTGTTTTCTTGTTTATTTCTGAATTTTCCAGATTTTTAAATTTGTGTTCGTGTCCATTTTGATATACTGTAATTATTTTCTAACTTTCGATATTTGTACAACTTAATTTCTGTAATATTAAACATAAGAATGCCTTACTATTTTTAAAATTTACAAACTTTATTTTCTGAATTCTCGATCTTCAGTCTATAGGTATTTTGATAAAGGCATCTAAGAACAAAATGTGCCAGAAATATTTTGGAGTAAAACACGTGATTTTAGACTATGCGTTAAAATATTTCAAGTAAAATATTTAATAAATGTTATTAGATATTAAATAATTAAGCACGATAAATATTAAATTTTTATGCAAAAATTAATAAAAAAAATCATTCTTTCTATTCAATTTTTTTTATCTAAAATATTGTTTTTCTAGAAATACGACTCTTAACCCGTCGGGCATTCCGAAAGGAATCGAAACGTGAGTCAAATTACGTGACTTCTTCAGGTTTCCACAAACAAAAAGAAAGCACCAAAAAAAGAAATATATTTGGCTGCAAATAAATAAAAGTTGATTTTGCGTCAAGTGTGCACGCGTTGTGGGAAATGAAGAAGTTATATGTATTTATGGGAAAAAGGACATCTTCATGGTCTTGGTCGTTTTTTTTCAGACGGAGAATTTATATAGTTAAGATAAAAAATAGAGACTTATTAATGGAAAATATAATAATAGAGATAGGCTTTAAAAGTTACATTATATGCATTTTAGTAAAAGATATAAAAACTTCCTAGTGTTTTTTCAAAGAAGAAAT